CTTGAAAAGAAATGGAAGAGAGGAGTTCGTTCCTTTCATCCACGGTCTTGAAAACAAAATCAATAATGGTTGGCCTTGCCTCATTTTTGGCTCCTAAAGTGTATTCAAAGAATCACTTCCTTTGTGAATTGGCAAGTCAATGTCTTTCAAAGACTCATTCGGAATTTCAAGAAACACCTTCTCTTCATCCCTCTTCTCTTGCTAAAAATAACAATCTTTTCACCCTCTAAAATAGCCATGGAGTACGCGACTCGACGAAAAGTGAAAATGAATCCCGTACAAGGATCCAGGCTTAAAATGAGACACCTTACAATAACTTTCATTAATTACACAATGGCCCTACAAAAAGTGATAACTGCAAAACTGGCCCAGAATAAAAATATCTTTTAAAAGATATTTTCATTCTGGGCCAGTTTTGTAGTTATCTTTCAAAAGATATTTTCTTAAAAACCCCTGAAATAAAATATCTTCAAAAGATATTTATGAAAAATACCCCAAGAAAGTAGAATGTTTCTGGTTAACTTAATTCATGGAGCTTTCTATGTCAAAACCACATCTTTCATACATTTGCAAAAGGCACTCCTCAAGAGGGTTCTTTGAGAGAATAGAGGAAAGGTTCTCTTCAAATTTTCTCTCCTCCACCTGTATAGTGGTCAACATCTCCTCACTCTCAAAAGTAGGAATGGTCGGAATTAAATCATGATCAAAATAAGGAAAATCCTCATAAGTCATGTTATGCTCTATCGGATTAGCCATTAGTGGACTCATCAACTCCTCAAACTGCTTATTTGTTACTTCTTCCTCACTCTTCTCATCCTCATCTATATAAATTGAAGTTCTTGCTATTTTTTCATTTGCCTCTTCCACCTCCTCTTGACTAGAAAGAGTACTTACAATTTGCTCAACTTGAGCTTCTAATTTGGCTAACGTTTGAGAATGAGAATTAATAAGTGGGGTTTATGAAATATGCACATCAAGCAAAGCTAACAATTTTTCTTCAAATCCGGGTAAGTACCTAGAAGATGGTGGCGTTGGTTCATCATAAAATGGCAGGGGAGGGTAACAGTCACAAGGAAGATAATGAGAATAGGTAAGTCCATAATAAGATGATGCATACTGAAATGAATTGGACTCAACCTCATAAGAATCAAAATATGATGGAGGGGCATAAGGTGAAGGGATGTAATTTCCCTCCAAACTTGGATCAAACATTGGCTCCATTCACATTCAAAATCCAAATACACCAAATAATGGCCTCCACACGGGCTGATGCTTGGACAAAAATTAAAGCAATGAAATTAGCCTCAACAAGGGCTATCACAAGCATGCAAAAAAGTGTATAATTAAAATACAAGAGTTCCAAGAATTGCTCACAAAGGTCCTTAAGCAACTTTAAATTCCAATGTTAGCTTTAAGCTTTAATTATTGTTTTAAGTTCCAAAGTTTGCCTTTCTTGTAATCAAGTACCCAATTGACAAATAATATCAAGAATTAGAAATGAATATACAATGGAAAATAAAATAAAAATAGAAGCAATCAAGAGAACACTATTGTCTAGTCTAATTCCAACAAAACCGTTAATCCCCGGCCACGACGCCAAAATTTAACGAGTCTCGCCCATTCCTCTAAGTGATTAAGAAAATGGACTTTTTAATGTGAGAGGTTGCTTCTCAAGGTCGAAATATGAATGTGGTTTCGGAAGCCTTTCTAGTCAAATTTACATTTATAAAAACCACTAATACAACTAATGAAGTATAGCGAGTAGAAATCGTTTGCAGGGATTATACGTGTTGGAATTTTACTTCGACTCTAGCGTATCAAAAGATTGCAAAGGAGGGTTGATTGGTTGATTACTCTAGAAAATAATTAATTAAAATGTAATTAAAGTAAACTAGTGAGAGATAGGGATTGAAGAGATATGAAGAGAGGTCTTAGGGTGTTGGAATCACCACTAAGCTCATGTAATTAACCACTTCCTTTCCATTAATGGGGAATACATTCTTGCAATCTAGATGTGGCCACATATATAAACATAATTTGCATGTAAAAGTGTGAACTATCTAATACAAGAGTGAATTGTCTACCTATCCAACAAGTAAACTAAGTGTAGAACAACCCACCAAGACAAATGCATAATCCATCAATCAGTTAACAAATGGGTCTAATGAGAGCACACATCATGGAATTTGCAACAATAAGTGTGGAGTATCAAATCAATAATAGATTGTCTACCTACCTACAAACATGAATTAAATTATAGAACAACCCATCAAGTATAAGTATAATCCATTAAATTAATTGACAAACCCATTCAATGAAAACCCATGCTTACCCATCACTAAATCTTTAATTAATCACATATAGACATGCAGCCAACATAGAGAATCTAGTGTAGAGATCAATTCCTAAATAATCACACATAAGACAACATGTAATTAAAATAGAGCATCATAAGGAAGAATTAAATCAATAATCACAAGGCTAAGCACTAATCACAACAATATATATATAAATACCCAAAAATGGAAATACAAGGGTTTAAATTACACAAGACTTAGGGCTCATCAAAGCCCTAAGTGCAGATCTAGCCAATCATAGAGGAGGTGGATGTGGTTATGAAACCCTCAAGGGTAAGCTCCAAACATGGCTCCATCTTCATCTTCTTCTTCTTTGAAGCTCTAGAGAGAGAGAGTATATGAATCTAGAGATGTGTTCTTGAGATGTGCCTCCACTTCCCTCTTTTCTTCTAGCCCTAATCTCTAACTTTCTAGAGAGAGAAACTAATGAAAGTATAGAAATTACAATGTAAAAAATATGAATCTTCTTACAAAAATGGTTCAATCTCTCATAAATACAAGGCTTTTAGAGCCAAAAATGTGAGAACTCAGCCCTAGGATCTCCTCTTTCAAGCACAGCCTGAGTTGGTACGAAATGAGCTTTAGATCTGTTTTTTTGTAACTTCTGCGAATAGTTTGATCGATCTCAAGGTTGGTTCAATCGATCTGGGTTTGATCAATCCAACTTTTCTTCGATCGATCCAACATTTCTTCGATCGATCCAACTTGGTAATTTTCAGCATCAGCCTCCTTTTTGCTCCAGATCAGCCTCCTTTTGCTCCAGATTCTCACTAAGACTTAGTTTAACTCCCAAAAGTCCTTAATGGATCAAAATTAGCCCATTTTAATATTATTGATCTGAAATAGACAAAAACATGAAATTAGACTAAAATGGGAAAATAAGATAGAAGAATGGACTAAAATACCTTCGCTTAGGTGCTAAAATACATCACATTTGAGCACTCATCAGACATGAATCTGATCAAAGATTTTTAATTGAATCTGTTGCATAAAACAATTATTAAATTTGTAAATAATATAATTAAGCATTGCAAAAGAAGAATAAGTTGCTGGAACTTAGTTTCTTCGAATGAAATTCGCCATTTGGAAGAAAGATTTGAAGATAATAAAATGACATTGAGTCATTTGATGAATTTTTGATTCATACTGTTTTGTGGGTGGTGCTGGACAAATTAGAATGAATTACAATACTTTTATTTATAGAAGTCTTAATCAACTTATTCCGTAACTTTTTGCTAGAAAATCTCTTTTTCTCCTTGATTTTCTTCTCTTTCAATTTAAACTAAGTCAACACTTGTAGCATATTTGAATTTCCGCATGTTATGTTGGAGCTTCCCTTTTATATCACAACTAAACTTCCTATAAAATAGGAATTTAGTTGTTGCCTTTCAACCAAACTCTAGCCCTTCTTCCTTCCTATAAAATAGGAATTTAGTTGTAGCCTTTCAACCAAACTCTAGCCCTTCTTCCTTTATGTCAGTAGCCTAATTTGAAATAGTCAACCATTAGTTGCTAAAATTTAGCAACTTCCTTGTAAGCTTGACAGCCAATTAATATATCCAATATAATTACACAGGTCATTTCCTTTTCTGTCCCTGATATTTCCAAATGGCTGATTCTTATAACGTCAGGTTGAAAATACCTATTCGCTCCTTATTGGTCCACGTCATCGCTGAGATGGTTGCCAAGTTTTGGTGCCAACACAAACACACCCTAATTTTATTTTATTTTTTGTTTTATTTTTTTTATTTTTTTTTGTGACTAATTTTTAGTTCCTTCTAAACATGTATACTTTCATCTAAATAGAATATTTGGCTTTTTAAGTAAATCTCAAATTTAAAATCTTTTGTTGTGGGGATTTCTAGAGCGGCAAAGTTAGAGACACATAGGTTAGGAAAAGGCTTTCGGATAGCATTAATGCACAGGGACGGAGCTAAATAAAATTTCAGGGGGGGCACATTATAGTACTGTATACCATACCATATATTTATAATATATTGTACATGTATATAAGTCAATATTTATGAGTATATATATATAGAAAGAGATAATGATATTTTTGGAATGAAATTAATTTATAGATATTAGAATATAAGGATTAAGGAAATAATTTAGGATAAAAAAATATGAAACATATATAGAATTCTACGGAGAATGAGAAAATTTAGGGGGGCACTTTCCATATTTTCATTAAAAAAACATATATATTATTATAAAATATATATAGAATATAAGAGAGGGAGAAAATTCAGGGGGGACACGTGTCCCTTTTGGTCCTTAATTGGCTCCGTCCTTGCTAATGCATAAATTGATTACTTGTACAAGTAACATAGAGAATTGTAACCAATATTTATTGGAAAAAGCAACTCAAAAGATATGGGACTAAAACCAGAAGTTACAAAGTGTGTTTGCACCATCACCATTTTCAGTGAAAGATACATATGCCTGCTTAATTTGTTACAAGTGCACATCATCACACATCACATGTGACAGCTCTAGGGGTCAAAGGTAATGAAATCACCATGTTAAACCATGTGAATAATTCCTATTACAGTCTTTAGTGTGTTCAAAAACCATGCACAAATGCTTTTTATTTTTTTTCAAAATCACTAATTACATAAAATTAACATAGTCGGTCAGTACATATTAATGTATGTTTGCTTTTACATCAATGGATTTCATTTTTTAATTTTATTCTTTAGATAAAAGAGAAATGATCCGTATGCAGTCACAAAAATTTGACTTCAACATCAATATTTGGCCACATATATGCTCTAAAAACAAAGATTTGTCCCAAGCCAATGTGAAACAAGTAATTGGTTACCATTTTAGCTTTCTAGTTATTACTATATTTTCTATTCATCATCAGGATAATATTGAATAGCTAAAATTTGTGCTATGCACATCAATATGATATAATGCAGGCAATGCTATCTGGGGGCATTGAAACTACGAATGTGACACTGACATGGGCACTCTCATTGCTCCTAAACAATCGACATGTTCTTAGATTGGTCCAAGAAGAGCTTGATGTCCATGTTAGAACAGAACGATTAGTGGATGAGACTGTCCTCAAAGAAACTCTACGTTTATACCCACTTGGACCACTGGCTATACCACATTTGTCTATCGAAGATTGCGTTGTTGGTGGCTACAACATCCCGAAGTGCACACGCCTATTAGTGAACCTATGGAAGATACATCGTGATCCTCATGTATGGTCCGATCCAAACGAGTTTCGACCTGAGAGATTCTTGACACGCCACAAGGATGTCGATGTTAAGGGGCAGCATTTCGAGTTGATACCATTTGGCAGTGGAAGGAGAATGTGTCGTGGAATTTCTTTGGGGCTCCAAATCTTGCAAATGACACTGGCTAATTTGATTCATGGGTTTGAACTTGGGACTCCTTTGGATGAACCAGTAGATATGACTGAGACCTTTGGGTTAATCAACCATAAAGCCAACCCATTGGAGGTCCTTCTCATAACCCCGCGTTTGCCTACTAACCTATATATATGACAACGGGCTATACAATGTGAGATATTAGGAACTCATGATAAAATGCATATATGTGAACATATTGTATATGTGTTTGTGTGGGTTTAGTGCTTGAATATAGACCATGGATCTCTATATTCTTATAGATGCATGTATTAATGGACCTTGTGAAATTGAAATAATTTGCTTTTATTTATTTATTTATTTTTTTTGTTTCTGGTAAGTGAGAAAAAATATTTGTTGGATGGAATTGAATATAGAAACAAATGTTCAAAACAAGCAGATCAAGCAACTTTGATATATTGGGGAACCACATTTGAGGCTAATTACATTTTCGTTTATAATTGGTAATAGTTTTGCTTATGATATTTAAAATTGTTGTCAAGTTATGTTTGGAGCACCAAATCAGCACTATGGAATTGGCATTAATGAAAATTTATATAATTCGTTAAAATTTGTGTCTCAAATTCTCTCAGTAATTAGATTTGTTTGTTTAGAGTCATATTTTGTATAGTAATTTCTTGTTTGGAAAGTCCTTACTTTCAAGGAATTATGTCTTAGGTTCTAAGGAATTTCTTGTTAGGCGTGTTTACACCTCTAAGAAACTGGGTTTGAATCTCTATCAATAGAGGTTGAGTTGAATGGAGAAGGTAGGGAAGAAAAAAAGAATAGAGGAGTGAGTGAGTGAGAAGAGAACAGATTGGGTAATAGTAGAAAGATGCAAAATAAATGGGTGGGCATTCGCTACATTTGTATATTCTCTTCTTGATTCATTATTAGTGAAATTCCTTCTCACCATGAACGTAACCTAGAGTAAGGATGAACAATATGTAAAATATTGTGTGTTGCATGCTATTTGTTTGTTTTGTGATTGGATTCCATATTTGTGATGTGTTTGCTTCCGTTGTGCCAAATGAAGGGAATTTAATTTCCAACAAGTTGTATTAGAGCTGAAGGTTGGTCGTTGGGAGATTATCAGAGCCGAAGGTTGGTTATTGCGAGATTACTAGAGTCAAAGGTTGGTCGTGCGGAATTTGTGAGACTCAATGGTTTATTATGGAGCTTTTGTAAGAGTTAATGCTCCGTTCAGAGAGTTTGGTAGTTGGTTGATAGGATATATATATAAAATACAAAAATAAAAAAACCGAGAGAGGCGCTGATGAGCACTGAAAAGTGCGTGTTTAAAACCCCTTAAGCTTGAGTATTCTAGGACCTTTATCTTACTTTCCCATTTTAGACTAATTTTGTGTTATTGCCCTTTTCAGGTGCTTATCACAAAAATAAGTTAATTCAGCCAAATAAGAGCATTAAAGAAGTTAACTTAAGCTAAATGGAAAAAGGAGCAAAGTGGAAGCTAAATGAAGCAAAGTGTGGAAATTCAGCATGTTCGATCGATCTCAGCATTTTTTTGATCGATCGAAAATTCATCGATCTAAACAGTTCAAGATGGATCCAAGCCTTTGTCCTTATCCAAAAGAATCCAACAAGTTTGATCGATCCAATATTTTCCAGATCGATCGAAATGATTTGATCTTATCCACACCTACAACCCACCTACCACTTTTGTCTTTTTCCCAAAAAATGTCCCAAAATATCTCAGAGATTTGTCTTTATTCAAAAAGGCACCGCCAAGGATGATCGATCTCTACAGCATTCAATGGATCTCATTAGAGGGACCTTGATGCATGAATCCAGACCATTGGTGTGACATTTGACCTACCTATATAAGGATTGAGAGCCATTTTTAGAGAGGGAGATGTTATTCATAATTCATGTAGGATAGTTGTTATTCATAATTCATCATATCTCATATCTTGGAGAGGAGGCTAGAGATTAGAGAGCTTTACACATTTTGGGAGTTCCATCAAGAAGGAGGTTATTCCTACCATGGAGATAGCCCTTGAGGGTTGGATGACTAATTCAATGAGTGGCTAGACATCTACTTGGGGCTAGAGTAGCCCCTAAGTTTGCTTTATAGACTTAGTTCTTTGTATATTTTTGGGGGTTTATTTGTAACAATGTTTTGATCTTTGATATATATATATCTTGTGGTTTCTACTTGATGTGTATGGATTAATGTTTTTAATTGATTATCTACTTCTAACCATATGTCTATGTATACTAGAATGGATGAATCATGTGCTTTTCTCTAGATTTAGTGGAATTTATGCATGTCTATGTGTATGGATGAAGTTAATCTAGAGATAGTCAAAATATAGAGCTTAATTGAACAATCTTGCAATTTATTTGATGGTTCACACTTGTTTCTTGATGAATTGTACCACATCTTTAGCTTACTTCGTTTAATTTTATGTGTTTAGTGTAGATGTAATGTAGTTGCTTTAAATTTATAGATAGGTGGACAATCTACTCTTGTTCCTTGGTATTCCATACTTATGAATACATTATGTGTATGTTTCTAGATAGTTGTGTGCGCATAAATTGTGGTTTCATTGAATGGATTTTGGTCTCATTTGATAGATTGTACTTTCCATTTAATTTGGCTTGACAATCTATGCTTATTTGCCATCCATACCAAGTTTCAATTAATGTCACACACACACACAAATTACAAGTCAATTTCCCCATTAATATACAATTGCTAGTGTCTAGTGAAGTCAAGCTTAGTGGTGAATTCTAGTACCCCAAGTCCTCCCCTTTATATCTTTCTCTACTTTATTAATCATTGAATTTTGTTTACTTTAATTTCATTTGCATAATAGCTTAATCAATCAATCCAACCAATCTTTAATCACTCGGCCTACTAACCCTATATATTGTTTGCATTGCAAAGGCACCCACAATCCCTTGGGACAATCCCTACTCACCCTGTCTATATTTTTAGTTAGAGGTAGTAGTAGCTTTTATAAATTTAAAACTTGGCCACATTGCACACTCACACTCTTAGTTCATCTCTTTGCAAACTTTTGATGCAAAGCGACGGCAACCACCAAGTTTTTAGCACCATTGTCGCGGATTTAATTGGCAACGCCGTGTTTTGGAAACAAATAGGAATTAGTACTCTTTTGATCGTGTCTTTTCTTTATTTTCTTCTTAGTTACTTATTGTGTTCATTCTTGATTGACTAGGTGCATTGAGTGAAGGAAGTTGAGCAAAGGAGAATTCAAAGCAAGGAGCTAAGCAAGGCAAAAAGGCTAAAAATCTAAAAATTGCAAAGCTAAGCGAAAAATTGAAAATATATTGAAGTTACTTAAGGACCCTTTGTGAGATCTTTCTAACTCAATCTCTAGTTGAATCATCGGCCCGCATGGAGGCTTGTTTTTACATTCTTTGATAGATCATTGGCCTGCGTGGAGGCAATTTATTTTTCTTTGCATATTGGTCAAGCATGGGAGTATGGGATCATTGTATGTGAAGATTTGTTTATTTGTTGTGGGGGCGAAGTGTTTGTTACTTACTTATTTCTTGTTATTTGTTTTGCTAGTGCATGTATGGTTGTAGGTCATTGAATCCTACTCTTGTCCTTCTTAATTTTTATCCTGACTAGGTTGTTCGTAACCCTAGGGGAAGGGTAGTTCTCATCACTCCATTTCATCAATGGAGGAACAAAATAATGACCATGTGGAGGACTTTGCTTACATAGACCAACAAGGCATCCTCTACCCTAATGTGCATTATGAAAACATCCAAGTACCATTAAGCATGCCTAGACCATTCATTCCACCACAACAACAAGGCCAAATTCTATTGGGAATGCCTCAACCAATCTTTGCTTCACAACCTCCTATGGTTCAAGCTAACCACGGTGTTCGAGTAGCACCATCGGTTGTAAATCCCCCTCTTGCTTTAAGAGACCATTATGTGCCTAATGAATATAATGCACCCACTTGCATTCCATTGCCTTTATTTAGAGCACATCACTATGAAATCAAACCACAAACCATTCAAATGCTTCCCAACTATCATGGACTTCCAAGTGAAGAACCCTACAAGCATTTGGATGAGTTTTTTGAAGTGTGTTCCACCGTGAAATACACGGACATGCCAGAAGAAGTGTTAAGACTCAAATTTTTTCCTTTTATCCTCAAAGACAAGGCAAAATATTAGTTTAACAATCTTAGGCCTTTTTCAATAACTTCTTGAGCAAAAATGCAATAAGAGTTCTTAAAGAAGTACTACCCGGTATCAAAGACCAATGCCATGACAACTTCCATTCATGAATTTTCTCAAAGGGATGGGGAAATGTTTCATGAGGCATGAGAAAGATTCAATGACTTACTTAGGAAGTGCCCACATCATGACATACCTAAATGGCAATTAGTTCAATATTTCTTTGAAAGTTTACCGGATAATCATAAGAGTATGGTTAATGTATCTATGGGTGGTTCTTATCTTGATAAGCATGAAAATAATGTGTGGCAATTGTATGAAAGTATGAGTGAAAATTTCATACATAGATCGTTGTCTTCTAAAAATGGTAGAAATCTAGGTGGAAGGAAGAATGTTGGCTTGTATCAAGTTGACAACTCTAATGATATAGCAGCCGAGATGAAATCCTTATCTCTAAGGTTTGATCAATTTTTGATCAACCAAACTTCGACGAATCAAATGCATTCCTCCCCTAATCATGTTCAGCATCGTGCATCTAATGAATCATGTATGACTTGTTCTAGTGTGTTATATTCTACTTCCAATTGTCCCCATGGATATGTGCAAAATGACAACCATGAGCAAACAAATGCCATTTTTGCTAACCAAGGGAATAATCCCTATGGCAATCATTAATCCAGGATGGAGAAACCATCCGAACTTTTCTTGGAAAAGCTAAGGGGAAGGCTCAAACCCTCCCCAAGGTGGTTTTCAAGGAAAGTTTGTTCCGCCTCCAATGCGAAGCCAAGGTTCCCAAGGTTTTAGATCATCATTATTTCAATCACATGGCAATCAATTTTCTAATTCTCATTTCCCTAATCAACCATCTTATTCTCAAGGAAATTCTAGGAGTCCTGCTTTTAAAGAGAAAGTTTTGACCGCTTTAGGCACACTAGAGGCGAACACTCAATTGTTTCATTCTCACTCTCAACCCAGTGCTAAGCTAGAAACCCAAGTAGAGCAAATAACTAGTACTTTAAATGCTAGAGAGAAAGGGAAAATGTCTTTGAATGCCCCACCAAAGCAACAATGTGGTGTGGAGACTCATTCCTCATTGGAAGGTCCCACAATTGAGCATGTCAATGCGATGACAACCTTGAGAAATGG